ACTTACCTTATAATATGCATATACATTATGTAATAGAATTTAGAATACAAAGAAACAACACACATATGACTTAAAAAACAAACCAGAGTCCCTAGGAAACTAAAGTGTGGATTGGAATAAAAAAAAGTTACCAACTTTTACCCCAGACTTGCATGGAACTGGCAATAAAAATCGAGCAAAAGCGGCAATAGACTTGCACGAAACGTCGCTATGTGCATTCCTTCAAATAAGAGTATTAATATTAAGTATGGCACATAGAATTGCAGAGTTACAAGGGATGAAACAGTGATTGCAACCAGTGTGAAGTTTTCTATGCATTGCTGATAACGCATCATTATTTGTTTAACTATCATATTGAATTTAGAATAACGTTATTTTGCACGTCAAAACCAAGTAAAGAGGGTGGTAAAGAAACTTAGTCCGCCATCTTGGGGCATCCACCCTATTAAAATCAGAATGAAAAAAAAGTTAAGTATGTTGTAAAGAAATAGGCTCCGCCATTTAGTATGACCCAGGAACAAACCTAATATTAAGCATATTTATTAGGTTGCATTGTCACCAGAACCAAAAGTGTGCAAAATTCAGTTCAATCGGTTGGGTGAAACTGGTTTAAAATTCCTTTGCAATACCAACAGGTGGAGTTAAATAAAAATTTGTTAAATTGTGGAACAGAATTTATTTATCAACATTGGTAACAATTTAATCCTTAAAATTATAATTATTAGTATTTTATTTTTATATATTTTTAATGTTTAATTTATTACCACATCCAAATACAGTTTTATGTGAGTAAATTTTATTTATTAAACCCTAATTGGAATCATGGTTCTATAATGTTAAAAATATATACAGTTGTCTACATAATAAGTACATATATTATATAAAAAGTCTGGACCTAATAAATAGATATATATATACAATAGTATAAAATAGTATATTAAACGCCATTTTAGTTAGGAGTTTAATTAAGCACGAGCGAAGCTTGCGAGCGAGTGTTTAATAAAAACGAGTGTCTAGAGAAGTTTATAAACGAGTTGCATACTATACTTTATCTACGACGAACACAAAACAGAATTTAAAGCCAATTTTATTTGTTAAAATTTTGACATCTGTCAACTGTCACCCGAATTTAACCTCACTTTTTCCCAATTTATAATAAAGCTACCCACACAGCACATATATCCATTGGACGTCCAGTGGACGGCCATTTGACATCCATTGGACATCTTGTGCTGTATGGGTAACTTCATCCCGTGACGTAAAATGTCGAAATGCCAGTGTTGTTAACTTCAGCCCGTCAATAAAACGCCATAAAGTGACAGCTCGTCAATGTAGGAGTAGATAAAAATATTAAACCCGTTTCTTGAATAAGTGGGGAAAATCAGTATGCCCAAAAAAATGACCTTCACTAAGCAAATCATGGGGCTTTAGCTACCCTAGTTCAATTTTTTTAAATGGCAACATTGCTCTAATGATACCACATAAGACTTATGTAGTATCATGATTGCTATTTAACAGTACCAAACAAAATAATTAAGTGGGTTATGGTAAATTAACCTTAAATTAAAATTTGACAGTTTCATGACATCCTTGATAGAATAAGGTTTATTTTTTACAAAAGAGGAGTACAATTGTTGTTTTTAGCACTTTAAGGCCTTATTTGAGGCTTACCTACAAGTGCCTCTGTAAGAAACATAACGTTTAAAACGATTTTTAATTTGTATAAACAGCCCAAATTAAGCATCCTACTATATGATTATGATTAAAGAACTACAAATTCTGACTGATAAATAAACATAATATATATAAGATATTATCTTCTTGTTATTTTTTCTTTTACATATTTATTTATTTATCTTTTTGCACGCATTCTAATATAACTTTTGGTTTCCTAACAATTTCATAATTTATGATAATAAATAACCGTTATTATTATTATTGTTATTAAGGTCGTAAAAATGTTAATAAAAAACCACAAATCGTAAAAACGGCTTTAGGAATTTTTTTTGTATCTATTTTAGGTCCGATATATACAGTGTGACCCATTTTTTTGCGACTCACCCCTTATCAAGATCTACATTTTAAATCAAATCAATTTTTTTTGCTTAAATTATCTATAGCATATCGACATTTCATGGCATTCATTTGACCATGGGTGGAAGTTGTAGAGGGATCATTCCTCTTTAAAAGCTCTTACAGCTAATTTCCAAATTTATCTCAGAAACAATTTATTCTGCGGGTTCGGCTGTTAATCTGTCTGTAGGAAATTAAATTCTCTACAAAAAAGGTCCTTTACAATTTTGGTGTCAAGACAATAGTTTAGGAGAGAAAGTCGAAAAACCACGATTTTTGAGCAAAAATCAACTACACAATTTTTTACTGGCAATATAATTCAAAAGTTGAAAACTTATTCATTTAACGAGTACTTAAAATTAAAATTAAGAGCTCTCCTTTGGAGGAAATTTTTTGTTCTATGTTTAGAACAATATATCGTCAATGGAGTAAGAAAAAAAACATAGTCGTCTCAAACGAAGCACCCTAATACAGTGTGACCCATTTGTTTGCGACTCACCCCTGTAAAATCTTTATTTATTGTGCGATTTTAACCGGATTTGTTTTAAACTGTAGATCTTGATAAACTGTATTTTTGGAGCAAAAAGCCATATTAATACAAAATACAAGGCCTACTATGTCAGTTTTTAAGAGTAAATTTTTAAGAATTCATATTAGCGATTTTTTTAAACAAAATATAAGCACGGCACTGGATTCACCACCCCTCAAAACTATCCTATACTAAATTTTATTGAAAAATTAAAAAAAAAATGCACAAAAATAACTTCAAAAATTTATTTTGTCAAGTTTAATTTTATTTCCATGTTTTTCATGGATAACTTGACAAAATAAATTTTTGTAGTTATTATTCTGCATTTTTTTTTTAAATTTTTTAATAAAATTTTGTTTAGGGTAGTTTTGAGGGGTGGTGAATCCAATGCCGTGCTTGGATTTTGTCTTAAAAAATCGCTAATATGAATTCTTAAAAATTTACTCTTAAAAACTGACATAGTAGGCCTTGTATTTTGTAAAAATATGGCGTTTTTTTGCTTCAAAAATACAGTTTATCAAGATCTACAGTTTAAAACAAATCCGGTTAAAATCGCAAAATAAATAAAGATTTACAGGGGTGAGTCGCAAACAAATGGGTCACACTGTATATATATATATATATATATATATATATATATATATATATAATAACCTCCCCTATTTGTGGTAAGGCCTCTAAACATGAGTTTTTAAATGTCGTTTTAAATGATCTTTGTATGTTGATTTATATTTACATTTTTGGCAATGATGTATTTTGGATGTAATGATATATTTATTGGATTCGTTTAGCATATCTGAATGTTTAAATAGAATATGGTTGTCCAAAGTAGATTTTTTGTTACACTGATATTGACAGAATATACATTTCAACTCTTTTATTTTACTATGAGTTTTTATGTGACCTGTTAAATTACGTTTTAGAATAGTTCTATAGTTGCAAATATGACATTCATAAAATTTTTCATCTTTTAATTTTAAACATACAAGTATGTGATTATCATAATGTGATTTGTAAACAGTTGAATATAAGCATTTAGTGCACTGAAAAATTTTATTTGTTATTTTTATTTTATTTTCAAATTGATGATTTTTTAATATGTGGGCATTTAAATTCCGTTTATGAGGGGACACGTACTCACAAAAATGGCATTTCAAATATTTTTCTTTATCGTGAATTTTTGAATGACTATTAAAATCACTTTTTTTAACAGTCATATAATCACAACTGTTGCATTTAAATTTTTCCAGTCCATCTTTTATATGCACATACTTTTTATGTCTTAATAAATCCGTCTTTGTTTGATATTCCTTAGGACAATTATCACATTTAAAAAAATGTTGCTCACCAACTTTACCTCTTGGTTTTAAATACTGTTCTTCATGACTTTCTGTAAAAAAAATTGTATTTATTAGGGTGTTTAAAAACAACGATATCGTGTTTTCGCTCCTTAATTGTGCTAAAATCCCAACACAATTTCAATAGTAATTTTTAAACTTCGAACAATAATTATTGAGTTACAAGGGTTTAAAAATCGAATCTTTATATAAATGCGTTTCAAAAATTAAAAAATTTGTTATTTATAAAAGTTTATATCATGACCAAGAACACAATATTATATGGGTGAGTATATTGAGATGTCCCCCAAGTGAAAATGATTATTATTTATGTTTGGTTGTTTCACTGTTGATCTAGAATGGGGTTTTTGGGAAGCCACCAGGTCTAGTAAATAACATAACATGTGGTTCTGCACTAATGCAAGAATTTTAAGAAATAATAGACATTTTGAATGTTAGAGCTTTACAGAAGATAGGACCTAGAGCTGGGAGTATCTTGAAAAAAAGATACTTAAAAATAACAGATACTTAAAGTATCTATGATACTTTATCTTAGATACTTTTTATATTGCACAGAAAGTAGTAACTTAGTTACTCAGTAAAGTAACTAAGATACATTCAAGTAACTTAGATACTTTAAAGTTACTAAGATTCTATTTAAAGTAACTTAGATACTTTCTTAGAGAAATTTGGGGGAATTCCAGAATCATTCAAAGTAATTACCTAACCTACAACTTGTTGAATTTTTATAATTTTATAGTTTTTATTCAAACTTAAAAGTAACTTAGTTACTCAAAAGTATCTTAGTTACTTAAAAGTATCTTAGTTACTCAAAAGTATCTTAGATACTTTCATATAGTACCTTAGATACTTTTTAGTATCTTGTAACTAAAGATACTTTTAACTCAAAGTATCTATAGTTACCAGAGGAACTAAGTTATTTTGTTTAAAATATCTTAGAAAAGTAACTAGATACTTTTCAAGAAAAGTAACTAGATACTTTTCAGAAGTAACTTTCCCAGCCCTATAGGACCATTCATGGAGGTTAGAAAATAAGGCTAATTTAATACTAAGCGCATGTTTTATTATAAAAAAATGTTTTATAATACTAACAAAATAACTAACAAGTGTTTATAGAAAATTTATAGTAAGCTTAAAGCTAAATAAAATATAAAAACCTAATTTAAATGATTAAATTTGGAAAGATCAACCATGAATCTATATTGCTTCCTATTGTTGATCATATGTGTTGGGAGCACACACAATGTCATTTTTATTTACAAATAATACATCATCTTGCAATAGGAAATATGAATTCGTCAGTGTCATTAATATTTCTTAGAAACTTTTAGTTACTTGGTTGATCGTCTGAATCTTTTTGTTGCACAATACCAACATAGTGGACCATGACAAATTCATTTTCCTTAATAAATCTGTAAATTCTTTCTCTTTGGGTGATCCAATTTTTTAATAATTTGAGCCAATGGTTCTTCATCTTAACTACTGTAAATCTTTATAACTATATTTTTTCTTTCGTATTTTAGTTATAAGTTTTTTATCTAAGCTGTTGTTATCACTGCCATTGGATAGATGTCTTTTTCTTAGGACATGAGCCAAGGGTTCTTTATCAGAACTGCTGATAACCATTTCATGTGAGAAACTACATGATTGTCCAATTTCATCTAAAATTAAATAAAAATGTTTTCAACAAAATCTTTTCAAATCTTATTTAAACAAAACTAAATTTAAAAAAATATACTAACGTTGTTTTTTTGTAATAGTAAGGACCAATTGAATAATGCTTGCATTTTACATTTGGTTCACATTTAGTACACGTTCTCTGATGTCTAAAAAGTGGTTGGCGTTTGACCACATTACCTAAAAGAAAGTTTGTTTAATTAAAAACAAGAAAGCTAGGCCAGGCAAAAAAAATCTTACCTCATGACAAGCAGAATCCCTTTACATTGTGGCAAATGATCTGGAATTAAACTTTCTATATACTTTAAGGTGTAATACTTTTGCATACATCTTGTAAATTTTTAGTAAAACTCTTCAGTTTTGGATGTCCTGACTCCCCTAACCCCATCAGAAGCGCCTTTACCATGGCCTTTTTTGCTATAATGCCAATTAATTATGTCGACTTCCAAAACCTTGGAAAGATAATTAGCAATAAGATGGAATAATTTTCTATTGCGATATTGAGTTCCAGTCCATCACTAAGGAAATGCATGTTTTTTAACTTTTGTTTTAAGTCTCTTAGTATGGGATCCAAATGCAAGCATATGGCAACTGGGTCATGATGAAGGTTTTCACTTACTGTGCAATAACATTTTTTTTAAAAGAACATCTTGTTTATCTTTTTAATATAACACAGTTGTATGTAAGCTCAGCTGAGGTTTAGAACCCCCAAAATGGGCACTCTGCACTTCTGCAGAAGTGCCTCATCTTGTCCCAAGGTTTTTTTGGTATGACTGATGGAATCATATTGATGGTAAATGTTTCTAATGTGAAGAAAAAAGGGCTTTAACGACTTCTGCAGTGTACAAAATACTTCAGACTTTGTGGTAACTGTTTTTTCTTTAAAAGTTTTCTGGCACTGCTTATCCTTACCCTTAATAATAACCAAAACTTTTTTTGATGTCCATCTTTCGTACACAATAGTGTCAAGCAAATTGTATTCATTGGTATTTATTCTTTTGTTTTTACAATTTTGACATGTTCGTTCTAAGCAGCTGTCACAAACTTTTTCGTTTTCACAGCACAAGCTTTTAATTAGGTCTTAAGGAGTACTTTCATTTATCATTTTGACGGCCCATAGTTTTCTGACTAAAAGTGACATATTAGTGTGCAATTGGCATAAACATGTATCCCTATCATTAACCTTAGGGCGCACTATACAGAACGGCTTTATTTTACAAAAGTTTGTAAAGGTAAGGGGTCGTCCATAAAGGACGTCACGCTTTTTTAGGAAATTTTTAACCCCCCTCCCTCCTTGTCACAAATGGTCACAGCAGCGCAAACCTCCACCCCCCCATGTCACATCACAAATTCAAAAAACTAATTATTGAATGATCATACAAATTTAAGATAGTTGTGCTAAACAATTTTTTTCAAAATTTTTATATTTTTAAAACGAGTAAGTATACCAAGATTCATATATTAGCCACTGAACTTCTACTCTAAATTTGGAAAACTGTAATATTAATTTTTATTTTTGAACAAGTAAATTTTGAATAAAAAAACTACAAGAGAACAAAAACGTATTTTCTCAAATTTCCTCCAAGGATTTTCAAAATATTTAACAGCATAATAAATTGGCATAAAAAAGGATTCTTCTTTCTTTTCAGATGGAAGAATTATTCCAGTCAAATCCAGATTATTTTCTTCGAGCCAGTCTACTTGATTCTTATTGGTCCGATTTTTATTTCTTCATTTTTTATTTTTTCATCCTTCGATTTTTTCTGGTGTAAAACTAGGTGTTTTTGAAGCATTACTTTTGAAGAAAAGTACAGGTGGCATGTTTTACAAATTCTGGCTTCTAAATCTCTCTGTATACAGACAGATTTAGAATCCAGAATTTGTATACTGACAAAGAAAATGAATCATAAGGAATAAAAGAGGGCTCAGCAGATTTTGGTAACATTTTTTGTAAATTGAGACTTTTTGAAATAAATAGCAATGGGAATTTAGCAGTTGAACTTCCTTTTAATTTGGTCCGCGAAGGAACTTTTAATCCATATTCTGTTTGTTCAACATGAATCATCACATTTTAGTATCTGGGTAAAATATTGGCTTGTTCTGACATGCTGCATTGCCCATTTCAAATCTTTTTGGAAAATTTACAAAGTTTACCTGTAATTGTTATATAAATGTATCTACTTAGTTTAGTTTGAACACAAAATATGTATGAAAAATATTTAATTTTGGAAGATAATATAGAAAATCCTTCTTCTAATAAGTAAAAAAACGAATTTCGGACGTCACATTCTCACGAACCCCTCCCCAACCCCTTGTCACGAATGGTCACTTTTTTCTAGACCCCTCCCCCCTCCTAGAGCGTGACGTCCTTTATGGATGACCCCTAATTGACATGTTTTCCTCAATTGTAAATTTCCGATGTAAATGTTTTAGAGTAAAGTTTAAAATCCGTTTTTGCTTTCTTAGGCCGTTTTTCTTAATAAAAACTTTTTTGCCCGGGCATAGCCTACTAGAATCATCTTTTTCCAAGAATATGGTTATACATTTTTTCATGTTTTGCATAGCAGCTGTGCGTTTTTTTTGGATCCCCACTTTGTCTTTTAAGACAATGTAGCATTTTGAAGAAAACGTGTTTTTCTGTATCTTTTTACTGTCGCACCGAAAATCATTTTCCAAAAGTTAGATTTGTGTCTTTTTTGCTTTAATTTCTTGTAATTATCTGAAATCTGTTTTGTTATTACCTCTAAACAAAGCACTTCATTCTTAATCTCTTCTGAAATAGTTTCCCCTTTTGCAAGTTCCTTCTGTTTATTATACCATTTTTTGTTTTTTTCCCTCCACTCCTTTCTTTTTGTGCTTTTTTCTTCCTCTGACATCTCTTTGACTGACTTAATTTTTCCTGATTCTTTCCTAGCATGATACCTTAAACGTTCTTTTCTTTTTTCCTCTTCATATTTTTCAGGATCTTGTCGCCTGGCTTCTCGCAGCCTCCGCATTGCAAGCCTCTGCTTTTCCCTTTGTTTTTTATGATCCATATTATTATTCTGTTTTTTCTTTGACGGTGTAAAACGGCTTACCATGTCTAAAATTGTAAAGTTTATTAGAAAAAAATATATAAAAATAACATATTTCTAAACTTGAATGTGATTAACCTATCCTCCGTGAATATTTGGTTTCACGGAAGATAGATTCACGGAGGTTAGGTTTCGTATGTTTTTTTTCAACATCCCTTTGTATATTTGAAATAAGGTATTGTATCTTTTGGCACCTTAATATTTTTTAAAAATACAAATGTACATACATAAAATATTTATAATAAAAAACGACTTACTGAGATATTACACTTCACGGTGGATAGGCTTTTAAATAGCAAATGAATGAACTGAAACTTTTGAATTGTAAAACATCAACACTTTCATCTGCATATAAATTCTAACTGACCTTCAGGAATCACATGTATCTATAATGTCGTAAACAGAGGTTTTTGAAATGATTAAATCGCCATCCGTTGCATAAAATTTAAAGCAAAAACAGATTCACGGAGGATATAATCAATTTTTGTAACACCTACATAAATGGTTATAAAAATTATTTCATTTAATTTTTATTTTATTTTATATTTGTTTCGATTGCTTTGGATGTGTTTAATTTACTTAGTGAACTGATATTTTTAGTATGCTTTTACTACCTCAGATATTTGAAAACATATAGGTTAACCTATAAAGAGTAACAGTCACGGAGGATAGGTTTTAGACTTTTAAAACATTGTAAAAAATAATTAATTGCTGTTAAAAATCTGGAACCTGAGCAGTAATATCCAGGGGCGTAGCTACCGACGTATCAGCCGTATCAATGATACGGGGCCCCCGGCTAGGGGGGCCCCCGATTGGCTTCGACATGCGTAAGAAAAAACATATTACCCATGGGTAATATGTTTTTTCTCACGCATGTTAAAAAAAATTTCTTACGCATGTTAAAAAAATTGAGACATGAAATTAAATAAATAAATAATATTATTATTTAATTGTTTATACTTCGATTTATTAAATTAAACCAACAAGGCCGTGAACTCATACGAATTGTTTCTGCCCGCACCTTTCCGCTATTCGTTGTCTGCGGCGCAGTCTGCGCATATTGTTCTGTGATCTGCATACTGACTCTGCTTTGCGTGTTATTATCATAGGTTATATTAATAGCAAATTAGAAATTATTATTAGCGTTTCAATTATTTTAAATGACGCCTTTGTTTTAAAATATAAACCTTTTAAAAGATGTTGTAGAACGGCAAATGTCTAAAACCAGACCAAATATTAAAATTTTCCTGTACATAAAAGGATATATATCCATTAGGGTGGGCCGAAAATCCGCTTTTTTAGAATTTCGTTTAGTAATAGCAAAAATTTTGTTCATTATGTTGTAAAAAAATTTTGTGTAAAAGATTAAAATTTTCGATCAACATCCTAGGCTCGCCCAACGCAATTAAAGATCAAAATGTTCAAAAAAAATTTTTCTTAATTTATTTCGATCGGAAATTTTATGCTCTACACAAAATTATTTCAGATGGATAGTTTCAGAAATTTGTTCATTATGTTGTAAAAAAAAATTGTGTAAAAGATTAAAATTTTCGATCCTCATCCTAGGCTCGCCCAGCGCAATTAAAGATCAAAATGTTCAAAAAAAAATTTTCCTAACTTAATTCGATCGGAAATTTTATGCTCTACAAAAAAGGTCCTTACACTAAATTACTTCAGATGGATAGTTTTAGAAATAAACCCGATTTTGGTATCAAAATTTTTTTGAACATTTTGATCTTTAATTGCGTTGGGCGAGCCTAGGATGTTGATCGAAAATTTTAATCTTTTACACAAATTTTTTTTACAACATAATGAACAAAATTTTTGCTATTACTAAACGAAATTCTAAAAAAGCGGATTTTCGGCCCACCCTAATATCCATCTTTTGAGAATTTTTGAATTTTCTTGCTCTCAGTTGCTCATAGTGTTTAAAACAAATAAAAAATATATTTTCCAAGTTTCAAGTCCCTATCTCAATATTAACCCTTGCCACGTTCCAGTGTAAGTTTCCTATATAAATAACAGGATTGAATAATTATTTATTTCGGCCAAAGTAACTTTTCAAAAAATTTTAAACTTGTCAGAATTTAACCTTGTAATACCTTGTAGTAGCTATTCCTAAGATTTTTTACAGATTTTTAGCTATAATTATTTTATAATTATTTTATATTATAACTTATTTTATTTTTTTAAACACTTACTGTGACCTGATTGAAAAATTAATTACCTATTCAAAAACCTCGTTATCCAGATAGGAAACTAACATTGCATTGCGGCATGGGTTCAAAAAGGTCAAAAACGTCAAAAAATTATAAAATCCGCGCCCTCTCTTGGCTTGGCTAAATATTATAATACTGTCCCGACATCCGACATAAGATATTTATCTATTGGTTTTTTGGGTATTATAAAAAAAAATAATTTGTTATTTAGTTTAAGTTATTTTATTTCTTTAATAATTAAAAAATCCTTCTACCTTTTATGGTTTTCTTATCTTTGTTTTCTTCTCTTCTCTTGAGACTTTTGCTGCATTTCAAATACTGCTTGTTTTGTGTAGCTTTATTTTGGTTCCCATACCTTTTTTAATAATTTTTTCGAGAATTTTTTCTTTGTAGTTTCACAAAACATAACAATTCGTTTTCACAACTCATTTTAAGATTTTAAATAATACTACATATAGAACTGTCAAAAGCGAAGAGCGTTACCATAGAAACCAACTATTAACAACTAGCAATGTTGTCGCTAAGAAGATTATATTCAGGAGCTTCAACTCCGCATTTGATAATAGATAGAAAAGCGTCGCTTGGCAGCGTCGATAAAGGAGGGGACGTCTTCTTTGGTGTACACTGCGCACAAACTCCTCAAATTTCTATGGAGTTGAAGCTCCTGAATATAATCTTCTTAGTTGTCGCGTTGATATCCTATTTTGTACGTTTTTTATTTATGTCTGTAGTGTCTCTGGTATTAATATAAAAAATAATTATAAAATCTGGATTTAAATCAAATGTAATAAAATTACAAAGAAAATTTTGTTTTTGCAAGTTGGTACCTATCGCTATTTATGCATTAGGTATATAACTTCCCTTACCCCGTTTTTAGGCTGGCCAAATCCCGGAAGGGAAAACTCAAACAAAGTAAAGAAGAAGAAGAACTTTCCTTACCCCTTTTCCGCAATATACTGACAAACCTCCTTAAGCTTCGAGAACGTTCTCCGAGCACATTTGAGATCGTTTCCTTAGTTACAACACTAACTATAGGTATAAGAATATAGTGTTCTTGATCAGGATATTCACAAAGTTTTGACGATGTAAAGCATATATGTATGGAGCCTACACAAGGAGTCCGAACTTAATAGGGAAAATTGTTAAAACCTGCCATTAAATTGCACAAATAAGGTCTTGTTTTTTCACCACCAGCGGCGCTGATTGTTGATGCGTACTGATGTCTGCTGTTCTGGTACAAATCAAACAATGAACAGAACACCAGCGCCCTCTTATCTTAGGAAGATTTTTGTATACATGTTTAAACTCTTTGTGTGGGCTCAATGTTTTAAAGTTTTAAATTTTTTGACACAAATATTAGAAAATACATCTGTCAAACATGTAAATATTTATCTACAACTGTCAAGTAATGACTATGGTTTGACACTCCTTGAAATGTCATAATAACTTTTATTATCGCACTAGTGCTTTTTTAAATTTATTACCGCACTAGTGTGTTAATATCTTAAATTAAGCTCAAGTTATAAGATTATAGGAAAACTCATTTATTGTAAACATTAACAGTAAAATCTTTACAATTAGATAAATTAATTCCAGATGCTGACATGCCTAACAATTTGCTGGAAATATTTTGAGTATGAACGTAGTTTGTGGATGTTGATGGAGTATCTTTAGATGTTGAGGCGATATTCTCCGCTTCCGGGAAAACATCCTCGCTAGCCCCTAGAATTTTCATAGCCGTTCGTTTCTTGTTTTCACTAGAAGTTTCGATGTAGCCTTCAGGAACCAAATTAGATTTCCAGCCACCATGTCTTTTTACTGTCAAAAGATCTGCCCCAGAATCAGCCAAAAGAGAGGTAGAAGATTGCCAAAAACAATGCCCGGTATACTCTTTTGGATTGGGCAACTGAAGAAACTGGGCAATAAGGTTTGGAACACTACCTATAGTATTTATTCCAATAGGTTGCCTAATGCATTTCCCTGCTCTATATCCCACAAAAAATCGTGCATGGTCGCAGTATTTAGGTCTTAAATTAATGTATTTTCTAACCACTTCTACTAGATTCACACCCTCAATATTTCCAGATGTTACAAAAAATTCTCTAGAGACTTTTGTTTTGGTATTTGGGATTATGATTTGAAAGCATACTCCTTCGTCTTTCACATTTTCTACAAGCAAATTTGTAATTTCTTCCCGCCGACACGCGCCCGCTAAGCCAATTATTAAAATAACCTAAAATAATTATTGCATTTTTTGCCCAAAATAATATTTCTGATTTACCTTCATGCATAGAAATTTCTCTTCTCCAGCATCTAACAAAAATTTAGTTATTTCTTTCTTTGTTAATACCTTGGACTTTTTAGGTTTATACCCATCCGATTTTCGTTTCAGGAATGCAATTAAATTTACATATTTCTTGATGTCGACATTCTGCTTAATTGAAATTTCTGTTTTTAACATCGAGTAATAGCACCAAAGAGATGAGGGCTTCTGTGTTTTGCTTAATTCGTTGAAATATACTAATAATCCTTTCTCGCTTGTCAAGTTGATTATCTTTTTTTCATTGCACCATTTTTCGTACCGATCAAAAGCTTCCTTATATTTCTTTCGTGATTTAGCTGGCACTAGATCCGAAACAAAATTAAAAGCTTCCTTTTCAATATCAGATGGCAGATCATCGCTTGAACTCATTTTTAAATGTGAAATTTTCACACAGATTTGACAATGACTGACAGAAGAAATTTATTTACAATCGTAGCTATGCTTGTTGCTAAGGTAATATAATAGTTATTTACGATATAAGTGGGATAAGAGCTTTATTAACGTACGCATGCGAAATTTGCCCAACGAGTGCGTAGCACGAGTTGGGCAATCGCAAAAGTACGTTAATACAGCGTTATCACACGTATATTGTACAAATTTTTATCTACGCCTGTAAATAAAAAAATAAACGGTAATTATTTTTGTCTAAGACTTAATTTAGGGTTATTTTGACATTTTGACTTTTTTATTTGATTGGTTAAAAGCAGAGAAAAACGCGTGCGTTAATGAGTTCTTATCTCACTGGCGTAGATAAATTCTTATTACCTGCATCCTGTATTCAATTTTTAAACATTTTATTTTTACTTAAATAATAATAGTTATAGTTGTAGATAAAATGTTGTACTTAACACGTAGGATACTATATTATTAACGCACTTAACTGATTACACCACTCGGCCTACAGCCTCGTCGTGCAAATTTTCTCATGCGTGCGTTAATAATATCCATATCCTACTTGTTACGTAAATAATTATAAAAAAACTAAAAACCTTTCAAAACAAAAAAATATTTATTGGTTACTGAGAAAAAAGTGAGTTTTACATGTGAACATATACATTAATCCAGATTTTTATACAATTTCTTTGGTATGTTTCAAGTTATTACCATATTTTGTTTTTATTATGGCCACCAAACTTTTGTAGTTTTATACATCATTGGATGTAAAATTACAATATGGTGACTAGTAAAAACCAATTAAATGAAAATATACACTGAAAAAAAATCATGTAAATTTCCGGTAATGGAGATTGGTTATTTTGATGCCTTGTTGATAACTGAAATACTCCATTTCATTATTATTTTACATGTAAAATGTAATAGCATAATTGACGTGTAACTCATTTATATTTTTTATGTAAAATAACATTTTTAATGTAATATGTTTTTTATTTAAAATGTATTTATACATGATAACATTAATATGCCGATGCGTGGGCAGGCAAGCGCGAATTCCCAGCCAATAGGCTTCTTCTCCGGTTACATATGAAATGTAATTTTGCGATTTTTACTACACTCCGAATGTAAAAAAACATTTAAACCTGTAATATTAAGACTAATAAAGTATATTTACATTTGAAATAATGCAGTAAGACGTTATAATTGAATTTTAGTTCGTTAAATTTACTTGTTGTATCAATAATTAATAGGTACATAACATTAGTAATTTTACAAACAAAAATGTTTATTTACTTAAAATATATAAAAATTAGACGAAAATAAAGGTAATTTTACAATTTGACGTAAAAATTAGGAATTTATATGGTAATAATCCTGTAACTTTACATTTAAATGTAATAATTTTTTTCAGTGTAGATAAATAATAAAATAAAAAACTTTTTCAAAATTCACAGAAATAACGAAGTTACAACGATTTTTGATTTTGTCAGGTCTTCAGTTTTTTTTTCAAATTACTTGAGATTCGTGCGCCTGTATAAACATTCAAAGTACATAGCACGGCCCCTAGGCTTCTTAATACATAAATAAAGTGTCCCTCAGAAGTAAAACTTTATACAAAATCAAAATCAACTTTTTCATGGACTGTTAAAATGTTTAAATTAAAAAAAAAACACTTACCTTTTGGGAGGACTATTTTCGCCAGTATGTTTTTATTTACAACTTCACTGTCTGCCCTACAAAAACATTTATGCTGTATCATAATCCTGCTTTTTAGTTTTGGCGGAAAATTTAAATATTTAAATATTGAGCATTTTTAAAAGCGCTCAAGTGCCTTTATGAGCATTTTTAATAGTGCTCATCCTTCTCTAGTTTTTACTAATAAAAAAATTATTATTTAACAGGTCACATTATGGCACCATTGACAAATATAAATTAATAGAGAATATTACAAAATCGATAATTAGTAGTCATGTAATCACCCAAAAAAATCACAATGCTAATATTTTTAAATCCAACTTGTTAATTTTATACAATAACTTTCAATTTTAGGATATGCAAATAATAAAGTTTATTTTGTTTAAAAAAATGCAAAAATATTATCACAAGTAGGTAGGTATATTTTAAAAAATTCGCGGCGTTTTTAAGTGCCATCAACCCCAAAATCTGTTTGCAATCCTTACAAGTTGGCAATATTAAATTTATTTTAAGGGGCACACTTTATATTTAACTGATAATTGAGGGCCTCAATTGTTTTTGATTTTAATGTTCTAGGTATGTTTAATGTAAGTTAAAAAAGCATAAAAAACAGTTTTTTTATATTTTCTGACAACAATTTAATTAACAAAGAATAACTCACCCTGATTTAACTGCACTAATGTCATTATATTCAACCCCATGATATTTCACCTCGATTTTTGTCTCAAACATGGCTTCATTTTCATCTTTTCCTTCGTCTTTAATGTATAAATAATTTTTATTATCTTCTACAGAAGATTCACTATTATCTCCTTCTTCCTTAATATTGTACAAGAAATTTTCACTTTCATCTCCATGATCAGAATCGTCACATTCTTCATCACCATCATTGATTTTAGATCTAAAATCATGACTTTTTAAATCAACTTCATAACTTCTATCCCAATTTTTGTGTTCAGACTTTTTAATTAAACATCCTTTTTTTATAAAAATTTTCAACAAAATTGAAAATATAAGCAATTACAGGTACTTCTATCAATTTCATGTTTTCCTAATTTTTACACCCTGTACATTAGGGTGGAGTGAATTTTTTTAAATTTATTAATTGATTTTTCCTATATTATTAATTGTTGACTAAAGGCGTAAAATGAATAAATATTGAAAAAATATTCCAATTTTTTAATATCTTGAGGTGGCGCATCTGTCTCGAAGTTTTGAAAATTCTAAAAAAATATTACTTTAATCAAAGTAATAAAAATAGCATTATTTATAAATAAAAAGTTTATTTTAGTAAAATTAACGTGAAACGTAAACATATTTAATAGTAAATCATATGCTTTAAGTAACTTCAGGAGTGTTTATTGGTAGAAATGAGATCTTCTTTTTCGCGAAAATACTGACATTTGGTATCAAAATTTGGTAATTATTTTCTGACTTTAATTCTTGTTCTGATGAAACCATTTCTTGCTTCCGATCCACAAACCGAGACTGAAGATTCAGTATACTGGTTATAACCAGTTTTACACAGCGTTCCACTGCTTGGGTGTGACACAGAATTTTTGGAAGTATAGGAAATGGTCACCCGAAGAAATCATATCGGTAATTTCTGTCATCGTATTTCATAGTCATAGGTGGTTCAGTCACCTTTTCTGTCGCCCAGTGAATTAACTGGTACAAACGTAATGCTTCAGTATTTAGTTGTGGAAGCTTTAATTCCCGTAATCTCGACCATTTTGATTCTTTTCTCGCCTTTAATATTTTCGCAATGCTAGTTCTCTGATCGATATATATATTGTAGGTAACATAGCAAGTAATAGGTTTTCGGGATGAATATTTCGCTGAATATTCTTTATAACTATAGTTATAAGGCCTTCAAGTTTTTCTGGAGGTGTAATGCTCTTTTAGTCATATTAAATATGTGAATACGACCATGTTTGCACGTAGGCTTGGTGTTGATGTAAAACCACGTTGGGGCATACACTTTCATGATAAAAGTAGCCAATTCTTTTAGGTTTTCCGATGGATTTGCTGTCCCCACATGAAAACGAATAATCCTATTAGCCCACGTCAGCCATAGGGAATGTGCTAGCTTGCCTGGATCTTTGTAAGCTATAGCTAATATTTATCCCGAAAACCTATTACTAGCTATGTTACCTACAATATATCTATCGATCAGAGAACTAGCATTGCCGAAAATATTAAAGGCGAGAAAAGAATCAAAATGTTCAAGATTACGGGAATTAAAGCTTCCACAACTAAATACTTTTTACGAGTTAATTCAATGGGCGACAGAAAAGGTAACTGAACCACCTATGACTATGAAATACGATGACAGAAATTACCGATATGATTTCTTCGGGTGACCATTTCCTATACTTCCAAAAATTTCCGTGTCACACCCAAGCAGTGGAACGCTGTGTAAAACTGGTTATAACCAGTATACTAAATCTTCAGACTCGGTTTGTGGATCGGAAGCAAGAGATGGTTTCATCAGAACAAGAATTAAAGTCAGAAAATAATTACCAAATTTTTATACCAAATGTCAGTATTTTCGCGAAAAAGAAGATCTCATTTCTGCCAATAAACACTCCTGAAGTTACTTAAAGCATATGATTTACTATTAAATATGTTTACGTTTCACGTTAATTTTACTAAAATAAATTTTTTATTTATAAATAATGCTATTTTTATTACTTTGATTAAAGTAATATTTTTTTAGAATTTTCAAAACTTCGAGACTGATGCGCCACCTCAAGATATTAAAAAATTGGAATATTTTTTCGATATTTATTCATTTTACGCCTTTAGTCAACAATTAATAATATAGGAAAAATCAATTAATAAATTTAATAAAATTCACTCCACCCTACTGTACATAAATAAAATTAAATTTTTTTTTTCAATGCTATTTTTTCAATGATCAAAACTTTTTATCTAGAATGACTTTTCAGAAAACCAAAAATAAAAAAAATCCCTCTTGTAAACTTAATCAAGGGGCATACTGTAGAATGTGAATTATGTGTTAAAATATTTTAATATTGGTAACTTTGTAAAAAAAACGGGAGAAATTTTAGTGATACTTCATAAAACAATCAAAATTTTAATGTAAAACTCCTAAAATACCTTAAATTTAACCTTGGGATAGGAACAAGCAGGCTGTGTGTAATTTGTTGAGGGCCGGTTTATCAATCTCTAGTTAAGTTCCAGTTAGTCTATCTGACAATTAAATTTCATATCGATCGTTGTGAGAACAATGGTGTCCATGGAAATTATCACAGAACATAAGAAATTATTATTATTACTGCAACTTTAACTGGACATTGATAAACCTGCCCTGAATGTTTTAATATGTCAACTGTTGCCATGGTGATAATGCAATAAATGGCAACAATGCTTACCCTTTGTCGAGAAACTCTTCGTATTTGGCTTCTAATATTAGTTTGGTTTGCTTGGCTCCATCAAAATTGTCTTCATCTGTGGACGTTTCTGGTTCTTCTTTTACCCCCGATTCATCATAGTCCATGGAGTTATCGCTATCATGCAATTCTTTTTTGATTTTTTGTTTTATTGCCATACCAGAGGTTGAAGGCATTTCTTGGTCAGAAGACGTACTTGGTTTATCGTAATTTATCGAAATATCTCGTTCTGAATCGTCAACTAGTTCTTCAGGTTCTTTTTTAACGATTACTTGCTTCATTTTGAATGAACACTCTACTTATTATGTTAAATTTTAATTAGCATTAACCTGTAAAAATAAATACAAAACCCTAATAAAACTTTAATAAACTCTACAACAACGAATTAAACGAATAATTATTTACCTTAGCACTGTTAGCAGTCTTTTACAGCGAAAAATAACGTTTATGGAAAACATAAAATAAGACGTTGTTTTTATATAACAAAAATATGGTTGTTTTGCAAGAAATGAGCGATTAAGGCAGCGTTGCCAACTTCGAGAAATCGAGGTTTAAACGAATTTCTCTCCGTTTTTCTTTTTCAAGATATACAACAATATTAAGCACACATTTTTAACAGAGCATCACATTTTTTGCCTATAATTAATTATATATTATATTATAGTAAAAATAGTTTTGTAAAAACAGGCTGTAATCTGGGTTGCATAATACATAACGGTATATTAGTTACAGTTTTTTTTATTTGGTATAAGTTGTCGCGGCGAATGTTTCAAATTACATCATCAAATTCTAAACCAAGCACAGACATTACAACTATTGTTGTTTTCTTTTACGTATATAATCCAAGGAACTGCTAGGTTAACCATATGTAGAGAAATCGGTTTTTGACATTCGACATTGAGGACGCAATTTGAAACATTCGCCGCGACGACTATAGCTTATGCCAGTACTTCTGCTGAAGAGTCTTCAGTGAAGACCTTAATTAAATATTCTACTGTCAAATTGACAGTAAAATTTATTATTGAAAAGTTACCCTATAGGGAGGTGAAAATATCACAGCTAAACGCTCGGACACGTAAACTTAATTTTTGGTCAAAATTCAAAGATATTGGAAAAAATTTAAACACCTTGTATAAATTTAAAAAAAATTGAATTTGGCTGGACAAATTAAAAAAATAACAAATTAAAAAAATAACAAATTCTTGCAAAATTTGAAGTTAATTGATCAAAAGAAACACGTGACCCTAAGGGTTTTTCTTATATAATTTGAAATGTTTTTTTGCTAATTTTTTTTTGAGTATAATTGAAGATATTACATGAAATGAAATAAAAAGCATAGAAATGTTGGCACAAGAGGTGAAATATATTCTTTTACAAATTATAATATACCAGTATACAATGTATACTAGGTATATAGCAAACCAGGCTGTTCCATTTACATAACCATGATATAACTAACAAAGAACATTGCCATATAAAATTGTTTACATAACATTTACATATTAGTTCTTTATTTTGTTACATAATTATGATAAAACATAGTAATATAACATTTATATAAATATGTTCCCCTCTTGTTATATTTACATCCCCCTTATGTATCAGCCATATAACAATGTTATATATCTACAATGGAACAATGATACATCATTGATATATGGCAATGTTTTATAGTATCCATACAACCTTATTATATGGTATTTACATAGTTTTTCTTTATTTTGTTACATAATTATAATAAAACATTTTAATATAATAGTTATATCAAAATGATCCCTTCTTGTTATATTTACATCCCTATTATGTCATGGCTATATAACAATGTTTTATACCTACATTGTAACAATGATATATAAATGTTATATATTAATGTTTTATAGTATTTATATATTTTATCTTACTAACGAACTCGTTTAAACGGTTTTGTCGAGTGCTCTCTATTGTGTTTTAAGTTAAGTTAAGTTTGATTCCATTTTTTTTATAAAAAAATGGAAGAAAAAAATAGAACAAAATATATTTCCCTATCCCGGAGGCAAAAGCGGAGGAGAATTAATGCAGATCTCAAAATAATGGGCGTTGAGGTAAGAAATTGTATAGAAAATACCCAAGACTATGAGAATTCTGAGGCTAAAACCAAAGTATTATCTTTCCCTAACCAGCCAATAAATAAACATATAATAAAAATATTTTTACAGAAAATTTGGGAGAATATTCAGGAGGTCATAGGAAAAATTCCCATACTTTTGTGGAAGATTTGCAAGATTTGTGTAATAGATACTTACCTAGTCAACTTTTTATTAATGATCTGTTAAAAGTTTTGAGAAAACATTATTGCAAAAAGAAGTAGAGGCTGAATTTGTAAGTATATAAAGGGCGATTTTAAACCTGTTTGATAATGTTAATTTGTTTTTAAAACAGGGTGCTAAAAAACAAGCGACAAATTATAATTTAATGATATAAATTTTGGTAGCCAAAATAAGAGTTTAATTTCTATAATTTTTTAACTTTATACTGTTTTTTCAACTGTTACTTAAAAGATACAATAATTTTGCTAAATAACCATGGATACACTTTTTTATTATAATTGTTGTGACAATTAATTTTATGCAAATTCCATATTTTTCATTATTTTTATATCTAAGGTTGCAGGGTGCATTTGACTTGAATTAATAAAATCAAACAAATTACCTATTATTTGTACCAAATATCATTTACAAAACTACATAAAGAATAGTTGTTTCTTGTTTTGAAAACAAATCAATAAACAAAAATAATATTAAATTGTATTTTTTCAGTTTCAGTATATAACAAAAATTGGAGGCGTCTCAGAGAAAGATGCCACAGTAAGAGTTCTAAAGAAAATTTTCTCAAATAATTTGGCAAAAGATTGCTCTTGGCTGGGGCTAAGAAATAACAATAAAATTCAAAATTTAAAATCTGTTGAAATATTAAAGGGTAAAAATGTAAATTTTATGGGATTTTTTATTAAATAAATTTTTTTAAGCTGCTGTGTGCACTTCGACAGATAAAAAATTTGAAGGCATAGTTTCCGAATGGTTCCGGCAGGCCAAACAAAGATATGGTAGGGAAGCAAAAAACCCATGAAAATAAGGTATATTAATATTAAATTCATGAGATTGCTTTATCTTTTTTACCTTATATTTTTTAGCTTTGAAGTATTAATGTATTCAAGATTTTTTTTGTTAAAGTTTGGAAAAACTTTTCGTTTGTTTTAAGAAGTTGGAAAGAAGAAATGATTTGTTTTTTTTTAATTAAAATAATTTTTAATAAACATTTAAACCAATTTGTTTTTTTTTTAATCTCTTTCAGAATCATTTATTTTTGTAATGTTTACTTATTATTTATGTAATATTTATTTATAATTTATTTAATATATTATCTAACTGGTATTAACAATTTCTTAGTTCTAATTTGGTATTATGGCAATTTTAAAATTTTGTTGATTTTTTTTCAAAAAATTTGCCATAATACCAAGTTAGGGCTAAGCAATTTTTAATACCAGTAAGATAATATATTACATGAAATTATATTTATAAATATTTCATAAATAATATGTAAATATTGCATAAATTATATATAAATAAGTAAATGCAACATTTATGTAAATAGAATATAATTGTTTTATCACGTTTACATAACTATGATATGGCGCTGTAACATTACAGTTACATATCTATGATAAAACACTGTTACATCACAGATACATACCCAGTAAGGGGTCTTGAGGCGGACATAGGAGCATCGCCATTACATAGGTGACATAGCCGTTGCATAGTAAGGAACAATTTTTATGTAAATGTTATATCACTGTTACATAACTGATATGGCGCTGTAACATTACAGTTACATAACTATGATAAAACACTGTTACATCACAGTTACATACCCAGAAAGGCGTCTTGAGGCGGACATAGGAGCATTGCCATTACATATAGGTGACATAGCTGTTGCATAGTAAGGAACAATTTTATGTAAATGTTATATCACTGTGACATGATTTGGTTTGCTGGGCACTGTATACTAGGTATACAGTGTCCCCGGATCGGATTTCCGAGCGTTTAGCTGTGATATTTCAAAAGTTAAAAATTTACATACATGTATGTATAAAAAGATATATCTATATACGGCGGTCCTCAAGGGTGAATAGGTTGACCAAAAATGTAGCCAAAAAATATTTACTACATCTAATTGTACTCCACTTAGGCTCTCTAAAACCATTTTTGGGTAAATCGCAGCTGATCGAAAAGTTGTTTTTTTTTTAGTTTTAAAAGAAAATCATGGAATTTTAGTAGTTTTTTTTGGTTACATTTTTTTATATCAAAAGTTTGTGTAATTTTAATCATTATCTTATTGAAAATCACATTCTTTAATCTTCTCAATAACATTTAGTAGTATTATTAATTGAAATCATAGTTAAGTATCAAATTTTCATCCGCACTGCAAAAAATTTAATAAAAAAGTAGGTAGGCTAAGACTTCTATGAAATACAATATAATGTTACAATTACCAAAGGGTGCCATGAAATCTGTTGTTGTGTTATGACAACACGTCAATTGTTATTGAACAGAGAACATGTTCTGTTATGCATAAGTTTTATTTAGATGTTTGTGCTTGTTGTGTTATTTAAAGTAGTGTTTTAAATTCAAAGTAATAATGCAAAAAGTCTTTGTGACGGCTGGTGGATTTTGGGTACACCAATGTCTCAGTTATTAGACATGGTACCCATATGCAATTTATAATTCACTACAGTTCTAAGGATTAAAGGGTATATGATAACAAATTTTATTTTTTAATTGAAAAAACTAAAAAGGGCATTCCATGAGCCTCGGGACTTTTTGCCCTGACCGTCACATTAAAAAAAATGTAGTTTTGTCAATTAAATTTTTTTTTATCATATAACTTTTAATGCGATATAACAATTATTGTAATCTCGAATATCTCGAGAACGGTTAATTTTATCGAAGTTTGAGAGGTAGGTACACCTTTTTAATAGTAGCCGAACTGAGTAATCGAAAAATTGCATCAAATGGTATAAAAACCTAACCTCAAAGTTTGTATGGGACAATAAGATTAAGCAACCCCTGTTTCTACGACACTGTGTTCACTCAAACAATTGTAATTATGTGTGAATATGTGTTTTGGTAGTAAGTGACTGTTCGCAAAATATCACCTTTCCAAGTCTACCATAGTAGAAGTTATATTAAAAAAACTGATATGATAAGTAACACTTTATCACCCTGTATCTTTTAAACATACGTAATTAGGAAAAATATTTATTTAGATTTTCGTCTTATTTTGATTTGCTTAATCTGCTCCTAAATTTATGCCACTAAGTTTAGGGACACCTTGTATAACTATGCCAAAAATAATATCACATTCTAAAGTAAAAGAACTTTTAAGGGTAAAACTTAATTTCGATGAAGTTATGCCAAATTCCTCAATGGCAAAAAAGTGGGTACATTGCCTTATGGAAATTTTTGGAGTAAAAAAGTAACGTTTTTGGTTTTACAAATATTAAATCACACATTATTTTCAGCTAAACAGATCAAACATTTTTGAAATTTTAAAAAATAAGGGGAAAATAAAAAAACCAAAAATAAAAATTATTTGCTGTTAGGTTCAACCTTTTTGTGAAAAATTTTCCTGTCTGGTTAGAAAAAAATAAGCAATAATCACAAAATTTTGCTTCTTTTAATTTGCAAGTTACCTACTGATGAAGTATTAATTTCCAGTGGCTTTAA